ATACTGATGTTGATGATTATGATGATGATATTGATGATTTTGGTGATGTTCATGATTAGATGATGATGGTGCTGATGGTGATGGCGATGATGATAATGGTGTTTTGATGATGGTGACGATGATGATGATGTCGATGCTGATGCTGTTGCTGATGATGATGTTGGTGCTGATGATGGTGTGCCGATGATGATGATGATGTCGGTGGTGATGATGATGATTATGATGGTGTCCCGATGATGATGAGGATGGGGATGATGATGATACCGATGATGGTGGCCCAGTGATGATGGTGCTGAAACTGGTGATGATGATGGTGTCCCGATGATGATGATGGTGATGATGATGCTGGTGACGATGATCACGTTTTCCCGATGATGGTGATGATGATGATGTTAATGATGTTGGTGTTGTCGATGATGATGGTGTCCTGTTGGTGATGATGTTGATGATGTTGTTCATGCTGAGGATGCGATGGTGATGATGATGATGATGATGGTGGTGTTCCGATGCTGCTGGTGATGATGATCATGGCGTCCCGATGATAATGATGTTAGTGATGATGATGGTGGCGATGGTGGTGTCCCGATGATGATGATAGTGATGTTGATGGTGGTGCTGATGTTGATGATACTGGTGATGATATGATGATGATGGTGTCCCGATGATGATGATCACGGTGATGATGCTGATGTTGTTGATGTTGATGGCGTTGATGACGATGATGTTGATGATGATGATGATGACGTTGATTGTGATATCGATTGTTATATCGATAGTGAAACCGATCGTGGTACCGAATGTGAAATCGATGGTGACATCGATAATGGGATCGATCGTGGGATGGATTATTATTTCGATCGTCATATCGATTGTGAAATCGATCGAATGAAACAGGTCGAGTGATATCGAGTGTGAGATCGATCGAGTGAGATCGATCGAGCGAAACCGATAGTGATATCGATAGTGAGATCGATAGTGACACCGATCGAATGAAACGTTGGTCCCCCCCCGAACCTCCTTATCACCCGAAGGGTGGTCGTATAGGTAGCCTGCTTTTATCCCAGTTTCGCATCCCTTTCCGTCCCCCTATCCCCGTAGCCCCCCGTGGTGATGGAAGTCAGTGCGCCCAGTTTGAAGTGTGCGTCCATACATACATCGAGGCGTATCATGACGTCTTCGGATAAGTCCAGACCAGGACCCCCAGAAACCAGGACCAGGTCTGCGCCGCACCTGGCAGTAGATGTCCCGTTCCACGGGTGCCGTTTTCTTGGGCGCGCTGGTATCCTGGCTCATGCAAGGTCCCATGCATGGGGGCCCTGGCTTGCCAAGTCTGTGACGATCCAGCGCGAGTCGGGCGACCCCAAAACTCCTTGGGCCGTCAGCGGGCGGGGGCGGCGTGGACAGCGCGGAGGCCTCCGCGGCCCCTCTGCCGCACACTGGCGCGGAGGTGTGGCGCAACGCGTGCGAGGGCTAGTGAAAAAAAAGGCTGCAGCCACGTGCGGCACGCCGATGCCGCCCCTGCCCCTCGTCGCCACTATTGGATTCCTCCCCAAAGTTTTGGCTAATGCGCACCCGTGGGGAGGTACAGGGAAGATCGGTGCCATACCTTTTTTGCGTCCCCGCCTGTGGGCCGGCACGGTGGGAGACGCTGTGAAACAAGGGCGCCTTCGAGGGCGCGAAGTTATTCGCGCTTCGCGCTTCGCGGTTCGGCTCCGATTCCTCCTCCTCCTCCTCCTCCTCTTCGCCCCTGGGAGGCGGCGCGAGAGCGCGACGTTATTCGCACTTCGCGCTTCGCGCAGCGCGAAGGGCGAAGTTGGGATTCCTTGTGAGAACTGGTGATTGGGGCCTGGCGCGCCTGGCGTGGTGCGCCGAAGCATGGTGGGCCAGAGAGTTGGCGGCGCGACACGCGAAGGCAAACGTTGTTGACCGCGGTTGGCAGGGATCGTTTATCAGACTCAAAAGAAGGATATTTCCCCTCCTCCTCCTCCTCCTCCTCCTCCTCCTCCTCCTCATCCCTCTTTTTCTCCTCCTCTTCCTCCTCCCCCTCCCTCTTCGTCCTGCATCCCTGTTCCTTATGCACAACTCCTCCCCGTCGCACACCGAAACGGGTCAGAAGGGCGGGCCGGGCGGTTCGCCTGAGACTTCCTCACCATTGCTGATTCTGAAGCTCAGAATTTGCAACAGCTTCACGGACGGAGGGCGGGTCATGTTCATAATGTGGTTCTCGCCACAGCACCGCGCACATTCGTCCCAAAAGTTCGCGAGAGCTTCGCTGATGGATGGCTGGGCTGTTTTCAAAGTGTGGTGGTCGCCTGAGCGCCGCGCACATTCGTCTTGAAATGTTGCAAGAGTTTAACGGATGGAGGGCGAGTCCTTTGTCAAAATGTGGCCATCGCCTTCGCGCCGTGCGCATTCGTCTTCAAAGTTTGCAAGAAATTGGCGGATGGAGGGCAGCTTGTTTTCAAAATGTGGCTCTCGCCTTAGCGCCGCGCACATTTGTCTTAACATTTTACAGCAGATTCATCGACTCTTTTGGCTGACGTCCCATATATGTTGTTCCGGCACGGTTCTCGGGGCGTGGCAGTCACGTTGATTTGCGGTGTTGAAGTCCCAGGAATGGTGTTCTGTCACGATTCAGGATCATCGGGACGCAACAGTGATGTTGATTCGTGGGCCAGAGCGTTGGCGGCGCGACACTCGAAGGCAAGCGTTGTTGACCGCGGGTGGCAGGGATCCTTGACCAGACCGAAAAGGAGGAAGTTCCCCCGGGCTTGGTTCTCACCACCCACCAAACCACCCCAACCCAACCCGAAGGCTTCAACAATGTGCTTTCCATTTCCAGTCTGGGGGGGGGGTCGGAGAACATCGAACAAAACACATGGAGCCCATACCCCCCCCCAACCCGAAATTCGGGTCTTCGGGTTGGGTTGGGGTGGTCTGGTAAGTAGTCAGCTTCGTGTTTCTGCGCGTCGAGGCGATGCCCCGACCAGGCCCAGGTCGCCAGGGCGCCCCCTCCTCTTCACACGGAAGGCGAGGGGGGGGTCCCGGATTGGGGGGGGCGCAGGTCAGAGCCTCCTGGACGGGGGCCAGAGCAGACTGGGTCGGAGGACCCCCGTCCGCATGGGCCGATGCACGTCGACGCGGCGCGATCTCGGGCCCGGCGTGCTCCGTTCCGACGTTGCCGGTGCAGCGGCGGTGCAGCGGTGGGGCGGTGCGAGCTTCGGACCTCGCCTGTGGCCCCCCCTCCCGGGAGGCCTCGGGCAGAGGAGACTCAGGCACCCTCGGATGAGGGTAGGGTTGAGTCGGGCACGTCCGTCTACAGGGGGAACATTCAAGCAGTAGGAAGATAGCTCGGGGACGATTTTTGTTGCGTATTTCTGAGCATGTTTGGGGTAGTTCTTGAGTATCCTTAATTTTTCGTCCAGAATGCGCCTGTAGGGGGACAGGACCGACCTGAGGGTAGGGACAGGGTGGGATGCTTCTTGGAAGCGCCCCTGCTCCTCAGAAGGCGCGGGCGCCTTCTGAGCCTTCCCCTTGCCCCTATCCCCCTCTTGCGCGCCGCCAAGAGCTTGGCATCGCTCGGACATGTGCATTTTTCCTTCGGCGAGGGCAGTCTAGGAGCATGCTTTATCATTTGGCGAAAAAGCCACGCACGAAACCGACAAAAAAACACAGGGAATGGACGTCCGAGCGATGGCCAGAGAGAGGGAGGCGGAGTGGGAGGGAGGAGGCGGTGAGGGAGGTGGCGCGAGGGAGGCGGAGCACAAGAAGGGCGGCGTTCGAGCCGAGGGGGGGGTCGGAGGGGCGGGCAGGACAGGGATCGGAGGTCGATAGACCTCCTACCCTGACACGTCGATAAAGGAATTGGCCGTTGTCGGTTCGCGAGGAGGCGTCGCGGCCGTACTTTTTGCGGGTCCAGGCCCGTCGGTTTCGGTCCCAGGCCGTTTTCACTAAGGGGAAGTGTGCTAAAGGGAGGCTTGCCCACCGCCGAAGGGAGGGGGGAGAGAGCGGAAAGGAGGGGGGGGCGGGCGGGGGGCGGGCGGGGAGGTCGGGGAGGGGGGGAAAACGGTGTGCGGGAATTGGAGGGGGGGGAGCGGGGAAGGCGAGGAGATGGGCAGGCGGGGAGGTTTGGTTGGAGGGAGGGCGGTGGAGAGCAAGGGGGAAATGCAATACGGGTGTGGCTACGTGGAGAAGGTCCCACTTATTACTAGGTATGAGGAAGAGAGCCAGGATGAACAACCATCATACTAATTCTTGATTGGCCTGCGGGGTGGGCCGGCAGGAAAGGATGTGATTAGAGGATGGTGGATGAGCGCGATATTTTGAGGAGCCCGACATCAAATTGCTGAGGACTATACGGGTTTGGAGGAGAAGCACGCCCTCGGGAACCTGCGCACCACCTTTTACCACGGTGCAGTGCTTTATCAATTAGCTTGGTTTCTAGTCAACATCTGTTATCGTAATGTTTTGGTAAGCGACGCTGAGAAATGTTTTCGCCTGATGCTGGGGGCAATGTGACGCTCGTTGCTTTTCCCTCTCTCCTCCTCCTCTTCCTGCATGTTCTCTCGATCCGCCTCCCCTCTGCAGCGCCTCCTCTCGATCCTCTCCCTGTCCTGCAGCTCCTCCTCCCCTTCTTCCTGCAGCTCCTCCTCTCCATCCTCCTCCTGCTTCCCCTCTCTCGCTGCTCTTTCCGTGCGCGCGGGGTGGACCAGACGAGGACGACGCACGAGACAGCGCGGCATTGGCCGATAATTTTGGACAACGCCTCCTCCCTGCGCTGCCTTCCTGCTTCTCGCTCCTCCTGGAGACTCGGGGGTGGACAGAACTCCTACCTGACACGTCTATGAAGGAACTGGCCGTTTTCGGTTCGCGAGAGTGCGTCGCGGCCGTCATTTCTGCGGGTCCAGGTCCGTCGGTTTCGTTCCCAGGCCATTTTCATTGAGGGGAGGTTTACTGAAGGGAGGTTTGTCCACCGCCGATTCTCGCTCCTCCTGGAGACAGAGACGCCGGAGGTGCGCATCTGGGTCGCCAACACGGATTGCGCCAAGATCATCGGCCGCAACGGAAGGCAGATGCGGGACATCGAGGCGAAGTCCAGGACGGCCTCTCTTCTCTCGCTCTTCTTGCCCGTGCTCCCACTCTTCCTCCGTTTCCCCCTTTTTCTTCCTCGGCCCCTTCTCCACCCTCCTTATCTTCGTCCTGCTCCTCCTCCAGCCACTCCTCCACCTTCCGCCCCCCGGCCTGTTGCCGTACCTGCTGTCCTCCTCTTCTCCGTTTCTCCTTTTCCTGGCCTCCGCGTCCCTCCCCAGGACTAAGCTGAAGGTGCAGCGCGAGGATGAGATGGATTCGGACTCCAAGGATCCGCAAATGAAGAGGAACAGGAGGACGAGCAGAACCAATGTAAACACAAGGCTCATTAACGATCTTGCAATAAACCATCCCTCCGAGCTCTCTCGTCATAGGTCTCATAGAAGGACTTAGTTTCATTGCGGGAAGTGCCCCGTTGGAAGGCAATTGCCAAAGCCCCGCGAATCAACATCACTGTTGCGTCCCGATGATCCTGAAGCGTGACAGAGCACCATTCCTGGGACTTCAACACCGTAAATCAACGTGACTGCCGCGCCCCGAGAACCGTGGAACAACATCTATGGGACGTCAGCCATAAGAGTCGTTGAATCTGTTGTAATATGTTAAGACAAATGTGCGCGGCGCTAAGGCGAGAGCCACATTTTGAAAACAAGCTGCCCTCCATCCGCCAATTTCTAGCAAACTTTGAAAACGAATGTGCACGGCGCGAAGGCGATGGCCATATTTTGACAACGGGCTCGCCCTCCATCCGTTGATTTCTTGCAACCTTTCAAGACGAATGTGCGCGGCGCTCAGGCGAGAACCACACTTTGAAAACATCCCCGCCATGCATCAGTGAAGCTCTCGCGAACTTTTGAGACGAATGTACGCGGTGCTGTGGCGAGAACCACATTATGAACATGACCCGCCCTCCGTCCGTGAAGCTGTTGCACATTCTGAGCTTCAGAATCAGCAAGAGTGAGGAAGTCTCAGGCGAACCGCCCGGCCCGCCCTTCTGACCCGTTTCGGTGTGCGACAGGGAGGAGTTATTCATAAGGAATAGGGATGAAGGACGAAGAGGGAGGGGGAGGAGGAAGAGGAGGAGAAGAAGGAGGAGGAGGAGGAGGAGGAGGAGGAGGAGGAGGAGGAGGGGAGGAGGCGCCAACAGCAGTCAAAGGTGGCCAGCCCAGAGGAGATAAATAGGAGGGGGAGGGGGTGCCCTCATCGAGGGTCGTGGTTGGAGTAGCAGGAATGTCCTCGTCCTATGCCCCCCCCTGCCCCTCGTGTACCTCCCTGTCCCCCCCCCCCTGCTGCCGCGGCCGCCGCCTCTTCCTGCCGTGACCCCCCCCCCTGCGCCTCCTGCCGTCTCACCTCCTCGAGCCCCTCCCTGCTGCGCCGAGGAGCGGTACATCGACATCATCGGCACCCGCGTGGAGCAGAAGAAGGCCGCCCGATTCGGGGGGCGCGTCATGCGAGGGGGGGCGATAGACCAGGGGACAGCGAGGGCTGCCGACGAGGGGCCCTCTAAGACCCCTGAATAGGCCCTCTCGGGCCCAGAAGGGGGCCTTTCGGGCTCGAAAAGGGCGCCCTTCTTCCTCCCTCATTTGTCGCCCCCCCCCCCCCCCTATTCGCGCCCGACCGATCCGTCCTCCTCTCCCCCCCTCTCCCTGCTCAGGCGATCGCAGACATGGATTAAGGGGGCATGGGTTAGCGACGGGTCCCGTTCCCAGGGGAAATCGCGGATTTCCGCCGCCGAGCGAGGCGGCACCGGCCGCATTTTGGGAAGTGCACCTCTCCCGATCCATGGACTAGGCGACCGCGCGCCAAGTCCATGGATCGCCAATCCATGTCATGTCTGCGCGCCCCCGACATCCGCGCCCAACCGATCCGTCCTCCTCTCCCCCCCTCCCCTGCGCCCCTGAGCCCGGGGACCCGACCCAGATCTCCTCTTCCTCCTCCTCCTCCTCTCCCTCCTCCTTCCTCCCTCCTCCCTCCTCCCTCCTCCCCCTGGGGTTGGGCGATGCGCGAGAAATGTGGACGTGTGCGTCTTGGACGAGGGTGGGTCGGGCGTCGCTCGGACGCGTGCACCTGTCTTTTCCTCGGCGGTGGCCACCGAGAAGCATCCTGGATCAATAATGTGCGCGCGCGAGCGCCGTGCTCGACCCCGACGCCTTGCTGCAACTGCAGGTCTCCGACAGATTTTTCGTTGTGTTTGGCTTCTCAGGGCCCTCCACGGGCCCCGGGGCCGACCGAAAGCGAGTCAGGACGAAGAGTTGGTCCTGGAGGACGGCCCAATCGGCGGCGAGCCAACATACTAATATCATGTGTGCTTCGCCCTCCCAGGGGCGACGTGCCCGCCAAGAACTCATATAGTACATGCGCGGTGGCGGGCGCTTTCTGGCCACACCGCTCGGGAAGCGACATATTACAAGATCGTTCTACTGCACGTTTGGGTCGGACGCACGCCTCCAAGGAGGACGCGTAGTACTCATGCGCGGTAAGGATGCAAGGGCCTTGGAGGGCCATGCTACTGTTTTTCTAACGAGGTTGGCCAGCGACAGTTTTTCAAGGATGGGCCGAAAGGGACAAGGATGCAAGGGTACGCCGTATTCCATAATAAAGGCGGGGGGGTCACATTTGGGGGGGGGGGGTGATTTGAGCTGTCTTGGAGGGTTGGGCGGGGTCTGGGCAAAGGGCGGCCCTTTCATGGATGGTCTGGGGGGCTCTAAAACTTCTCGTCTGGGAGGGTTGGGACCCCCTCCCTTTTATTACGAAATCTGGAGTAGCCGTGGAAAGACTGCCCATCCTTCCTATGCGGGTTGACTATGTCCCTGAGCGTCCCACCCGAGGGTCCAGGATCCGTTTCCCTCAGGACCCGTGCCCCCCATGCAGAACGTCCGTGTACTGCGCAGGGGGTCGACTACAGAATTGATCCACCCCAGAACTAGTTTTTTGTTGTTTGGAGGTTGACAGACCTCCTACCCTGATACGTCGATTAAGGAATCGGAAGTTTTCGGTTCGCGAGAGGGCGTCGCGGCCGTCATTTTTGCGGGTCCAGGTCCGTCGGTTTCGGTCCCAGGCCGTTGTCACTAAGGGGAGGTCTACTAAAGGGAGGTTTGTCCACCGCCGAGTTGTTGTTGGATCTACGGGAAGCACGTAGCCTGTTTTCGGATATTGGGCGACCATTCTATGCATTGTTGTTCGCAGACTTGACGCACTACTGTTTGTCGGATCTACGGAAAGTACGCAGCGTGTTTTGTTCGCAGATTCGATGCGCAAATTCAATTACGGGGTGCATCAGTTGTGCAGTCGATCGATTCCCTGCTCGAAGGGAGGAGGCCAGAGGGGGGACTTCTCGCCGCGTGGGGGCTCTCCTCGACACCCGCGGCGAGGCCCTCGCGGCAGCGCGGCACAGAGAGGGCCTCGACCCTCCTCTCCGCCCGCTCGCTTTTTCTCTTCTCGGGAGCCTCGGGCCTCTTAGGGAAGCAAACAATGACACAGACATTAAGATTCGGAGGTCCGCGCGGATTCTCTCGGATCGGCGCTGGGGCCCCCTGGCGGCGCCTCTGGCGCCGCCCCTGACGCGCTCCGCGCGCCAGGGAGGGGGGTCCAGCGCCGATCCGAGACATCCGCGCGGACCTCCGAGCTTTTATGTTTATGTCATTGTTTGTTCCCCTAGCATCGGCCCCTGGCCCGGGGGGCTCTTGTTGGGCGGGGCTGGTCGACCAAAAAGCAAGCGGCACCACCCCGTCTACGGCCCTCCGTGCTGCGCTACGGCCCCTCGGGGGTCGTAGCGTGTACCAATCAAGAGCTCACGCCAGATTTCCTGGTGCACGCTAAGCCCCGTGGGGCCGCAGGTGGGACGGTGTCGTTTCGTTGCTGGTCCAGCTGGGACGGGGATGCACTCTGGTCGTCGAGAGAAAGTATCTATGGGTTCCCAGGTCCCAATCTGCTTGGGGCGCCTGCCTGCCTCAATGATCGAGTGGTTTCCCCTCGTCCTCCCTCCTCGGGGCGGGCGAATGCCCAGTCTGCATTCACCGCCTTCCCACTTCGTAGTGCTACCCACTCCTTCCGACCGATGGGTAGATCCGTTCCTGAGCACTCCAGGTCGCTCTCAAAGCGCTCCTGAGCGCTCTGAAAAGGCCGCGGCGCTCGATGCATCCTCCAGGGCCGCGGGATCTGAGCTGTTCTCGACTCATCCTCGTGCGATTTTGGCCTCGTCCTGGCTTCGCCTTGCCCTGGCCAGGCGCTCGAGGCGATAGTGGAGCTGGCGAGCTTCGTGCGCGAGGACTCGAGTGGGGAATCGACCACGGAGTGCATTTGTGTCTCAAAATTGGTCTTCTCGTCGAATCCACGAGACGTGAACAGAACGCTCCGCAGATCTGCTGAACAGGTTTCGAACCCTCGTAGATGTTTACGAGACGTAGACAGGATGCTCCGCAGATCTCTTGAACGTGTTTCGAGTCTTCATAGATTCCACCGAACATCCAATTTTGGGGTACAGTCAACCCGCAGAGTAAGGATGCGCGATGAGGATGCACGGCCCTTGGACGCCCACCTCGAAGCGCTTCGAGCGGGGCGCGGCCAACGAAAGTGTCCAAGGATGGACCCAGGAAGCAAGGATGCAAGGGTACCCTTGGGAGGGATGCCTATCCTTACTCTGCGGGTCGACTGTACATCGATTCTGTGGTCGATCCCCTGCTCGAAGGACGAGGGGGAGGTGCTGAAGGACCAGCGCGCCGCCGACGAGGGCGACGGAAGGCCGGGCCCGCTGCCGCCCCGAACAGCGGCGCGCCCCCGTGAATGCTCGGAGGCCCCCGGATGGCGGCCTGCCTCCCCGAGATCCCGGGCGTGGCAGCCTCCGGCCGGCCGTCACGCCGCAGGCAGCAGCCTGCACGTTCGGCCATCTCTGTCAAGCAGTGGCGAAGCGTCCTGGCTCGCCTGTAGCCCTACCAATCAATGTTCGAAGAATCTTTTGTGGTTCCCACGAAATGTTCCTAGAACATTTCTGGTTGGGACTGTCTTGTATTAGCACATCGGGTTTATGTTCTAAGAACACTCTTTTTGTTCTTAGAATTGTTGGGTTCTAAGAACATTGCGTGGTAAGACTATAGATATGCCGGGACGGTCGGTCCCTGCTCAAGTCCTCGGCACCTCACATCTCCCCTCCGTGCAGCCGATTCCTTGCACGGCCTACCACGCTTCCTCTCCGTTTGCCACGGCGCTTTGCGAGGGCGTCCGCCAGAGGCGTTCCCTGCGCCGCGGCCCTCACTTGCCCATCACGCCATGGCTCTGCACAGCGTGATGGGTCAGATACGGCCGTGCAGTGCTTCCGCGAGCACGACGTACTGGCCGAGGTGGTTGTGGCGTACTTCTTTGTCTATCATCCTGAATGCAACAACCCGCATGTTTGGTCATCTTTGGAGCTTTCATGGGAATGGACAGTCCTCGGCACCTCACATCTCCCCTCTGCGCGGTGCTGACTGACACGACGTGTCCTGCCTGGGGTCATGCCGATATGCCACAGTTTACGCGAGCTCGCTTGAGCCTCGAGCTGATGCTCATCTTTGTCGTTCTTCGTCGATCGATGCGGGCGTGGCGTTGCAGTGGCGGCTCGGCGAGGATGACAAGCATCTTTAATCCATTTTCCGAGACGGGTGAGGGCCCTGCGGCGAGAGCGGGACGCTGACGCGGCGCGGCCAGGGGTGCTGCCGTGGCCGTCTTGGCACACAGTCACGCGCACTGGTGGCGCACGCCCCTCCGCGTCCCCAGGTGCCCCGATCCCGTGCGTGACGCGGATGCACCAGCTGAGCCGAGCCTCGGACCGCGCTTTTGGGTCTCACACCTCAGGAATGATCCACGCGCGTGCGAGCCTCTGGGCACTGACGCAGCGTTTGAGTTGCCCTGCGCAGTTGCCCAGTGAGCAGTGATGACATGCACGTGCCATCCATTTTCGGAGGCTGGGGGGGCGGCCTGTGGTGAGAGCTCCAGCGAGGCGCTGTCCGACGGGTCGGTCGCCTGCTGTACTTTGCGGGCCGCCGGGTCGGAGGGGGGTTTGCCCGGTGGGGCGTTCCCGGGACCGCGCTCCTCACCAATGCCGCCCGTGCACGGCTGAGCTCAGCTTGCCTGCATCGCACGGCCTACCACGCTTTCTCTCCGTTTGCCACGGCGCTCTGCAAGGGCGTCCGCCGGAGGCGTTCCCTTCGCCGCGGCCCTCATTTGTCTATCACGCCATGGCTCTGCACAGCGTGATGGGTCAGATACGGCCGCACAGTGCTTCCGCGAGCACGACGTACTGGCCGAGGTGGTTGTGGCGTACTTCTTCGGCTATCATTCTGACCACCCTTGGGGTGATAAGGATGTTGTTGGGGGGGAGAGGGGGGGGAACCAACGCCTGAGTCAATCGATCTCGTTATCGATCTCACTCAATGGGACACCACGGGACACCACGGGACACCACGGGTACTTGTCGATCTTACTATCGATCTCACTATCGATCTCACTCAACGGGACACCACGGGACACCACGGGACACCGCGGGATACCTCTCGATCTCATTATCGTTCTCATTATCGATCTCACTATCGATCTCACTCAACGGGACACCATAGGACACCACGGGACACCACGGGACACCTCGGGACACCACGTCGATCTCACTATCGATCTCAGTATCGATCTCACTATCGATCTCACTCAACGGGACACCACGGGACACCTGTCGATCTCATTACCGATCTCACTATCGATCTCACTTTTTGGGACACCACGGGGCACCACGGGACACCTCGGGGCACCACATCGATCTCAGTATCCATCTCACCATCGATCTCACTCAACGGGACACCACGGGACACCACGGGACACCACGGGACACTTGTCGATCTGACTATCGATCTCACTATCGATTTCACTTTTTGGGGCACCACGGGACACCACGGGACACCTCGGGGCACCACATCGATCTCACTATCGATCATACTATCGATCTCAGTATCGATTTCAGTATCGATCTCACTATCGAGCTCGCTATCGATCTCACTCAACGGGACACCACGGGACACCACGGGACACCACGGGCCACCACGGGACACCGCGGGACACCGCGAGCCACCGCCGGACGGACGGACGGACGGGCGGCCGGGGGAGAATCATTTGTTTTGACTTCGCCCTAGCAACGGCGGACACCACGGGACACCGCCGGGCACCGCGGGACACTGCGAGCCACCGCCGGACGGGCGGGCGGGGGATAATCATTTGTCTTGACTTCGCTCTAGCAACGGCGGGTTCATTCCTCTCGCGCGCCCACGCAGCTTCGCCTCGCCCGCACGCACGACACGAACGAAACAAAAGATTTCCTGGTTGGGGGTCTCCGTTCCACTGCGATCTCACCCCCCAACCTCCGATTTGGTCATTTCTGGAGCTGTCATGGGAGTGGACAGTCCTCGGCACCTGACAAGTCCCTTCTGTGCAGTGCTGACTGACCCGACTTGTCCTGCCTGGGGTCATGCCGATATGCCACAGTTTACGCGAGCTCGCTTGAGTCTCGAGCTGATGCTCATCTTTGTCGCTCTTCGTCGATCGATGCGGGCGTGGCGTTGCAGTGGCGGCTCGGCGAGGATGACAAGCATCTTTAATCCATTTTCCGAGACGGGTGAGGGCCCTGCGGCGAGAGCGGGACGCTGACACGGCGCGGCCAGGGGTGCTGCCGTGGCCGTCTTGGCACACAGGCACGCGCACTGGTGGCGCACGCCCCTCCGCGTCCCCAGGTGCCCCGATCCCGTGCGTGACGCGGATGCACCAGCTGAGCCGAGCCTCGGACCGCGCTTTTGGGTCCCACACCTCAGGAATGATCCACGCGCGTGCGAGCCTCTGGGCACTGACGCAGCGTTTGAGTTGCCCTGCGCAGTTGCCCAGTGAGCAGTGATGACATGCACGTGCCATCCATTTTCGGAGGCTGGGGGGGCGGCCTGCGGTGAGAGCTCCAGCGAGGCGCTGTCCGACGGGTCGGTCGCCTGCTGTATTGTGCGGGCCGCCGGGTCGGAGGTTTGCCCGGTGGGGCGTCCCCGGGACCGCGTTCCTCACCAATGCCGCCCGTGCACGGCTGAGCTCAGCTTGCCTGCATCGCACGGCCTACCACGCTTTCTCTTCGTTTGCCACGGCGCTCTGCAAGGGCGTCCGCCGGAGGCGTTCCCTTCGCCGCGGCCCTCATTTGCCTATCACGCCATGGCTCTGCACAGCGTGATGGGTCAGATACGGCCGCACAGTGCTTCCGCGAGCACGACGTACTGGCCGAGGTGGTTGTGGCGTACTTCTTCGGCTATCATCCTGAATGCAACAACCCGCATATTTGGTCATCTTTGGAGCTTTCATCGGAATGGACAGTCCTCGGCACCTCACATCTCCCCTCGGTGCAGTGCTGACTGACACGACGTGTCCTGCCTGGGGTCATGCCGATATGCCCCAGTCGCTTGAGCCTCGAGCTGATGCTCCTCTTTGTCGCTCTTCGTCGATCGATGCGGGCGAGGCGTTCTGGTGGAGGCTCGGCGAGGATGACAAGCATCTTTAATCCATTTTCCGAGACGGGTGAGGGCCCTGCGGCGAGAGCGGGACGCTGACACGGCGCGGCCAGGGGTGCTGCCGTGGCCGTCTTGGCACACAAGCACGCGCACTGGTGGCGCACGCCCGTCCGCGTCCCCAGGTGCCCCGATCCCGTGCGTGACGCGGATGCACCAGCTGAGCCGAGCCTCGGACCGCGCGTTTGGGTCCCACACCTCAGGAATTGTTGACGCTTCGCGACTCCCCACCAGCCCATCCAGAACAGATGCCCAGAGGAATTGCCTCGATCAGGGAAGTGGGCAGCACCCAGATGAAGCCATTCTGAGGCATCTTGGGATATCTTGAGCCGTCTTGGAGGTCATTTGGGGCTCTCCCAGGCGCTCTTGATCTTAATCAGTGCCTCCCCCCCAAGAGGCCAACATGTGGCTAACAACTGTGTGAAATCAATGATTTGGCATTCTCGCCGAGGCCTCTTGGAGCATCTTGGGTGCCTCTGGGGGGTCTCTTGGGGCCTCTTGGGAGTCTCTTGGGGGCCTCCTGGGGGCCTCTTGGGGGCCTCTTGGGGCCATCTTGGGGCCATCTTGGGACCTCTTGGGGCCTCCTGGGCGCTTCTTGGGGCCATCTTGGAGGAGATCGATCAAACAAGAGGGGAGCATAAGTAGCGTCCGCCCCCAGGAGGCCAACATGGGGCCCACACCCTAGTAACACCAATGAGTTTGGCTTCCTCGCCGAGGCCGTTTTGGCATTCTCGCCGAGGCCTCTAGGAGCATCTCGGGTGCCTCTGGGGGCTCTCTCGGGGCCTCTTGGGGGTCTCTTGGGAGCCTCTTGGGAGCCTCTTGGGGGCCTCTTGGGGGCCTCTTGGGGCCATCTTGGGGCCATCTTGGGACCTCTTGGGGCCTCTTGGGCGCTTCTTGGGGCCATCTTGGAGAAGATCGATCACAGGAGGGGGGTGTTAAATAGCGTCCCCCCCAAGAGGCCAACATGGGGTCCAAGCCTCAGTAAAACCAATAATTTTGGCTTCCTCGCCGAGGCCGTTTTGGACGCTCCGACGACTCGCGAAACCCCTTGTCCAGGTCCAGGGGAGGGGGTAAGGGGAGGGGTCAAAACCCCCTCCCCGCCCGCAAGCCGTCTCGCTCACTCCCACCCGCCCTCCCAACACATACGTAGTACCCGAGCCTGGCCCGAGCAGCAGCATATTCAGC